TTCAGTTGCTGGTAAAGTCAACAGCAGCCAAGGGAAACTGAAGCAAGTCTATGAAAACTTGTAAGATCAGGCCCTGATATCGCCAGTGATTATATTCAGCACATGGGTTCCAAATCCATAACAAAATCAAAGACATTTGTTTGAGGTATTTATAGAGCGTCTGTGTGAATAACCATCTGTGCTCTGAGGGAAGCATACACATAGTTCAGACTGTATCAAAACCAGTTCTATGCATTAAAATAGGAACTGTTATATCATAGAATCATAGAATCTTATATCTGAATATTTTACTGCTAGTATCTGTTTTGACCTGTTTACATGCAAAGGTAAATTTTAAAACGGCAAAATTTGAAAGGTAGCACTAGGAAGAATGTGATTAGTCTGTTCACTCCAAAAAGGCTTTGGTCTTTGAAGCTCAGGAATGATGTTTGAATGCTGTAGGCCCTTCAAAAGTGAGTTTGCTTAGCGTCTGGATTCAGCCACTTGCCTGCCTTAAAGCTTTTAAGTAGCTTTGGGGCATATTTGGGAATGTAAAGGTAAAACCACGCTGAAGAACTTTGCTGTGCTTTCACTTGTCATGTAATTCTATTTCAAAGTTAGATTTATATCTTTTTGGGAGTGATGGTGTTCAGTAAAAATACTGGTAAAATATTCAAATGTAGCTGACTACAGTGTAAGGCTGATTGTACTGAGAAAACCTGTGGTTGTTCAGTTTGCTAACTTCATCTTTTTCATGGATCGGTATGTTATGTATGCTCAAAACACTGAGATTAGCAATCAAAATGAAATGATGAGTACTAGTAGGCTATAATAGGATTCATGCAAAAAAAATGTATAATGGTCACTTATATATTGAACTTGCTCCTTTGGAATAATTACTGAATAGCAAGTTTTGGAAGCTGGTTTTGCTTGTTCGAGATAGTAGGAAATTGAAGTTTCTGATACTATTTCACAAGATTAATTTTCTTTAGTGATAACCTGGGGAATTCTTTAAATTACCTCTTCTTAGTTGATGTAGCACCATCTGCCACATCTGCAAAGATAATTATTTTTGGGAGCAGCTGTGCTCTTTTGATTAAGTCTTGAGTCATCAAGATCAGTATTTTTGAAATGGAAAAATAGAAGCTATTGTTTTGCATTTTGGTCTGTAATAAATGATGTGTGTTTGTAACAGTTAGTGCCATAAACCTCATAGCTGTCGTCTTCTAATTTCCGAGAAATTTGCTTTCATTTGAATGAAAGCTATATAGCTACGTATAGGAATAAAAGCATCAGTCATAATTCACATATCGGTAAGACAGTACCTGGTGGCCCAGAGGCTACTCTAGAGACTCTTCTGTTAATGGAAATATTATCCTGCTAAAGGCATACTCCCATCCCTGGATCATAGCCTGGGTTTCCAGCTTCAATTTAAAAAGGCAAACTGTAAATTACTGTCACCAAAGCAAAATAAAAATTCCAAGGGAACGTGCACATCTCATTCTCCCACAAGATCCAGAACATTTTTAGTAGCTATTACTGAATATTTGCATCCTCTAGTAAGCACTGTACTATCTGCATTCCCCAAATGAACCTCCTTGTAACAGAGATGCCATGTGAAGCCTGCGGCCTCCTATAGCTCTAAATCGGAGAGCTGGCACTGATCAGATGAGCACATCTTAATCAGGTGAGCATCTCCAGAATAAAGAGAGTGAATTAGGACCTGAAATCTTCACAGCTTGTCTTGTGGTAGTGAAAAGACTCCCATCTGCTTCAGCCATCTTGAAAGGTAAAGTCATAAACCCTGTACGTGCCGTAGTAAGGAGCCTAGTGTGTGAAGGCAGAGCGATCGTTTGGTGGTGACGTCTCTCTGCTGCAGTTTCTTTCAGCTTCCTGGTGCTGAAGAACTAATGGGAGCAGGCAGCTTGTGGAAGACAGGATAACTTTTCCCTGGGGAGTTAGTGAAAAGTGGGTTTATCTTGCTGGCTTTACTGCAGAGCGAAGGTGGCAGAGCTGAAAGGCCTGAGGAGGCCTTCTCTCTTTAGAGGTCACACACGTGTAGAAAGCTACCGGTTAGAAGGGAGCCCAGAAAATAAAGGGAAGAACAAAATTTGATCTTATTGTAAGATGAGATAACCGTAAAAGAGCTGGCGAAAAGCCAAACCTGAGGTCCTTCTTGCCTGTACACCTGAAGATATCGAGGCAGAATCTGATACACTGCGCTTGCTTGGGCTGTGAAGGACTTAGGTTGTAGAATCCTTGTGACACTTGATGCCCAACCTGAAGATTATCAGTTGGGTGCTCTTTCTCCATCAGTTGGTATCCACTACTGCGTATCTATTACGTGTGATACCTAGAGGCATTCACGTGTCTGGCCATCAGTGGTGCTCAGCATATGAGTATGTGTACTTCTCTGTGCTTTTAGGGATTGCATACCCATAAACACACTGAAAAATAAGCTATGGAGTTTCCAAATATATCTCTCATAATTCAGTATTTCTTGGTTAAAGTTATTCCACTTCCAGTGTCTGCTGAATTCCGATTAGGTGAGCGTATCTGCTAACAAGGCTGGAGGCTGTAGTTTGTACCGGTAGCACTGCCCTTGGTTTGAATTGCAGTGTGAGAAGAAAGGTTCTGCTCTACGTTTACAGAGCAGGAACCATGGACCTTAACATAAAACAGAGGCTCTGTCAGTGTTGCAGATAATCTTGAATGTATTGCATGTGTTGGGAAACACAGTTGCTGAATTTACCTATGCTCTGGGTAGCCAGTTTGATGTGAAATGCAGCTCTGAGGACTGGGATAGCTTACAACAGAATTTTATATTTACCAGATTTCAGTAACCTCATTGGTAATCGTTCTTAGTTGCCTGAACTTCAGTCTGAGATGTGGCCTTTTCTCATTCAAAATGTATAATGGCAGCATACATTTATTTCATTCATCACATTCCTTTGACTAGCCTTTCCATATGTAGAATTGAAAGGTAGTTTTATTTTGGAAAGAGAACAGATTTTAAAGGATCAAGGAGATATTACAGATTTTTTTTTGCTTGTGATTGGAAAGTCTGCTCTGCTGCTCTGTGTTACACTCTACTGAACTATTGCCCAGAGATAACACAAATTTGTTAATACTCCAGAACATGACTCCCTAAGTATATATCCAAGCTATTCATTAACTTATAATTCTACTTGAGCTGTTTAATTAAAGTCCAAAAAGACCTTAAATTAGTAATCACAGTTTTAGGCTCACCAACACTATGGGTTCATTTACCTGCACACATTGTAAACGATAGCAAACAGAGTTATTATCTATCCATCAACTCCCTGCAGGGCAGAGCAGTGGCAAATCCACTCCGTCTTCCTCTCGGTGAAGAGCATGAAAAAATAATGGACCTTACACTTCAACCTGAAGGCCAGACTTGATTTGTAACTTGCCATTCGATTGCAGAAGTGACACATCTTATGAAAAGAGGCAGTGCACAGCTTCGTTAGGGAGTAGCGAGTTGTACCTAGTGCAGAGGCTACATCCAGCCTAAATGTGGGCTTGTCAATTCACTTATACTGCATTCAACCTGCTGAGCATGATGTTCTTATTTTTAGTAAAGGTATAAAACCAGATGACTTCATATATTCACTGTCCCCGATTCCATTAAGGAACAGGGTATACAGGCATGACCTGTAAAAGTGTTGTTTCGCCTTGTCAAATGTCAGAGAAATTACTGCCCTGAAATGTTGACATTTGTCTATGTTATCTGATCCCTTAGAAAGGGAACAGTATTTTGTGGATAGCCCCTTCCCTTCTAGATGGAAAGGATGTTGATATCTTAGACAATATTAAGTGGTATCACACTTTTCAAGTAAACCCAGTATACCAGTATCATTTGTACATTCGTATTCAGTCCTCCCATGCATTTCATAACGCATTTCCCTCCATGAAATTAATAGGTGCTTAGTTTTATGTTTTCCACTTACTATTCTAATTCTAGAACCTATAGTTTTTTTGTTGTTGCTTGTTTTTTTTTTAAGTAATTATGGAATAGCACCTCACCTGTTTCACAGTGGGAGGCATATCCTAAACGATATCAAGTAAAGTATACACATATGTATCCTTGGGAAAAGAATAGCTTTGGTAAGTTTGACTGTGGATTTGGGCAAATAACTGAAACAGCCTCCTCTTAAGGCATCGTCTTGAGCTCCAGGGAAGCGGTATTTTGAAAATGCATTTTGCGTTCTAATTGGGTCATATTAGGAAATGGCACTTGAAATTGAACTTGTTATCCGCCTTGAGCTGATGAGAGATTATTAGTTAAGCCTTGGTAACCGGATCACTCGCTATGGTCTCTCACCATGTGTTCCACATCTTCTCATAGATGACTCGCAGTACTAGAAGCACTCTACAGAGCCAGCCTGGCCTGCAGAAGCAGATGGTGAAGGATGCTCCTTTCCCTAGCACATTTCTGGAAAAAACAGGCCTTTAGTCCTGTGTGGCTTTTAGTTGGTCCCACAACATATCTAGAGAAAAAAGCTTCAGTAAGCTTGCTACAGTTTGGTTATTATGTAGAGGGAGATCTTACAAGACTGGCCTAAATTACTCCTGAAGTAATCTGTGGAGTGCGAGCAGCTGCACATGCAAATACCTTGCCCAGGAAAGCTGGGTTTTATGTTTTTTTTTCTTTCACATCTATACAGTCTCCGAGTAAATATAGTTCAGCTGTGTATAACTGACTCACAAAAGTGAGTACATGCATGACTTACCTTTGCTCTAACCCTGCAATATATCAGATATCCTGCCTTAATCAGGGAATTCAGCTACTCTTTTTTACATTTTAATGACTGCTCCTTAACTTCTCTTATCCAGGCAGATAATAATGAGGATGAACTACAGCAGGCACTTCTTTACATGCTGTCTACCAAGCTGAATTAATGCAGAGAGTATTTCATTTGCTGTTTCAAGCCGCTTACTTACGCAAAGAAGCTAGTCCTGTGCTTTACTGTATCATTCAAGGTAGGCAGACGTAATTATAGGCAGCTAAGTGCTAGCCTTTGGTCTTCAAAAGGCATTGGGCTGCTATTTTGTATTCGCTGTATGGCAGCTCAGGATAGTAGTCTTCCAAAAAGGGAGTATTAATGTAATAAATAGAATAGTAATGTCAGCAAGGAGACTATAGAGAACTTCTTGTAATCTAGGTTAATTTACATCTCTCTACTGAACTGCATTTTTGGTATCATTTCAGTAATTTATGTAGTTGAGTCACTGAAAAGATTTTTTGGGTTTCCTTTCTTTTCTTGTTCTTTTTCTTCAGCAACTTTGAATCTCCACTGATGTATGAAGTTCCAGAGCACCAAGGCAACAGCGCAGACAGTTCGGGAAGCAGCTTGGGAAGCTCTGTGACAGCATGTAAGAAGGTAACTTCAAGTTTATTTTGCTTTCAAAGCTAGATATATCCCAGGTTATAGCTCTGCTTCTTAACGTATGCATTTATTGGGAATACAAAATTAAACTAATGCCTTAAAAAAATAAGGATTGATACAGAAGAATAAAGTCTGAGTTCTACTACATCATCTTGCAACTACAAGGACTATGCTCGTCTAGCACCAAGATTATTTTATATATCTGACAGCTAAACTTTGCCTGAACATTACTATTTTTCTTTATCTGAAAAATAGGAAATACTACTTAGCATGAGTGTCTTCAGGACTACTCTTTAACGGGCTGTAAGTTTATAGAATCTAGCCTGAAGGTTCAGGAGCTTTGCATCTCTCATTTCAACATGATGTAGTATCTTGCATGAAATGGAGCTTTTCTGCCTTCCCTAGTATCTGACTAGATTGGTTTCAGCAACCTAGGAGGTTATATAGTTTGACTGTTTTTGTTTTTATTGCCTCAAGAGTTTTTTCTGTAGTTACTTACTTTAGAGGACATGCAAAAAAGAGAAAAGCAATGACTTTGTATGTCATTATGTGGAGACTGATACTGGTTTATGCATATAGATATTTCAGGGCAACTGAGAATATACCCTGGGTGCTTTCATTTATTCCTGCTCCCCAGGTTTGGATTGTGTTGGCTGGTCTAAAGGAAAGGCACTGTCAGAGACCTATTGAGGCCAGTGGGTTATCTTTTATCTCTCACTTTGCAATAACCCACAAAGCTCCACTGTCTCCCACAGGCATAATTCTAGAGCTGATTAAAAAAAAAGCATTTGTTTTGTCCCAGAAATGTTATGAAGCTTCACAGTTCATTCAGTTTGCTTGCTACTTTTTGTTTCTTTTCCTTCCACCAAAAAAAGCATTCCACTTGTTTTTTTTCCAAAGACATGCAAACACACACACATATATATATATATACACACATGCATATATAATACAGAGAGAGAAAGTTAAAACATGCAAAAGACAGATATATTTTCCTTGTCCTTCTGAAAACCACCTTGAGTAGGGACAAGTATTGGCTGTTTTCAAAAATGTCATTAACTGTAAAATCATTGAAATAAAAAAACCTCAATAGACATGTATTTATGCTAGAATTATACTAGGATTGGGCATCTCCAATGCACCCCAGTACAGCTGAAATATAAAGTGTCAGTAGTTCAGGAGAGTTTATTTCTAAGAGAATATCTTATTTAAATGAAAATAAAGCTAATAACTGCTACTGAAATCTCATTTTTTATAGGAGCATGTGGAACACTGTTAGATAATTAGGGAAAATGCCTTAGATTTTTTGTTTAATCTCCAAATTGGCCATTTTATATAAAACTGAAGGACAGGAGCACAGCAATGAGAAATATTTATAAATGTTCCATCTTGGTCACCTTCAGCAACACTGATCACTTTTAAAGAGAAGCCTTTACCACCTATTTTAGAGCTGCTTCACTTGTCTGATCTCTTACATTTGAACTTTTCATTGTAGCACAATTCAATTTTATGATTCTAGGCATACTAAAAGAGGTGATTCATTTCTGCCAACACTTCTGACAAACAGCAGGATATTTTGGGCTTCTTTACAGCAGTGTCACAGAACGTGTTAGTCTTTTTTTTTTTTTTTT